CATAGGGATCAATATAGAACTGGCCAATACAAGTCTATTTCAAATGATGTGAATTGACTGTTTAAAGTAGCTCAATAAATCAAGCAAAGATATATGATCATACAAGTCAGAGATCAAATAGCCAAAAAACTATTGAAAGTTATTCGTTTGTTCACTTACATTTCGTGAAATATAATATTTATTTATAAATATTGTATGATAACATAATATGGTAAATATAAATTGGAAAAAACTGACATTCTAAGGGAATCTCCACAGATAATTAAAGAAAAGATTCTCGAACAAGATTTCGTTGTTAATAATAATTATTGTCGACCATAATAAGAGGTATGATACATTCAAGTACACGTTCATGTAATGTGCTTCAAGTCACACAGTCTATTTTGTGTGACGAATAATCATACGAACCAATTGACTACTCTATAACAAACTGGATTATAGTTTAACGTTGCAAAAATAAGTAGTTGAATGCGAGTCTTTTCCATTACTGTCACCAGAAAGTGAAACAGTAGTGATAAAGATTAATCAAATGATAATTCTTAAATAAACATATTAGGGATAACTTGTTAAAGAAATTCAGCGTAGGCATCAAGGAAGAAAAACATAGCTTTGAACCAAAACAAATATTGTTTGGGTGAAACATAATGAATGGATTGCCAATAAACAACGAAGCCTATTCACATTCATAATAGATACAAAATGACTAGTGCCATACATTATTTTATAATGTGGATAAATAACTAATTACTTAACTTCATACCACTTTATATATTATTTTGTTTGTAACAAAAAAAGGAAAAGAATAGGCGGGAGTAATTTATCCATTAAGTATTCATCTTTTTTGCTCATGTTGGTCTAAACAGAAGTTTTTTCTCCACTTCCCTTCTTCATACATATTTTTATCTCGATTGTGATTGTTATTACTACTATTCATCAATACAAATAAATTTCAAGTTATACATTTTTATTTGGTCATTCAGTCAAAACAAAACTGGTAAAGTTACTTCTTATCTCTTTAGTCATTAAACTGATGAAGATATGGAGAAATCTGGAAAAAAAATTTACAATTATTAATGGAATACAACTACACATTTATTCAGTTGGAAGAATAAAATCTATATGAATTGTCTCATATAAAGGAATAATTCTTTAGAAAAATAGGTAACTTGAACACAAAAATTGGTATTAGTAATAATAATAATAATAATAATAATAATAATAATAATAATAATAATAATAATAATATATATGCATTTGTGACATCTATTCAATTTCCTGTTATTAGCAACGCTAGTTTGGTATATAAAAATAGATTTATTAACAAAGTAACAGTTGAGCTTAAACCACTAAGTTGTCAATAAGCTGTTTTCACTGCTTAAAACAAAGTGAAATAATTCAGTGTACAATACAATTCCAAATAAGCATTTATCCTAAAGTTTTATTATTCCTAAATATGGAATATACTTTAAATAAAAGGATAAAGTTAAATGTCTCAAATACGTTTTTTTACCTATCAGATAATACTGTCTTGTATATTGTGCTCTATGAGTTGAATGTTTTGTTAGTTTGGCTTTTACTGCTTGTCTATTTAATATCATCATTACATAGAAAAGATAATTTTTTCATCCATTAGTTTGATAATACTCAACTTATATCGCCATTAATATAGTTATCTAAACACTTATCATATAAGTAATTTTTTAGCTACTCTGAAACTATTATTTAATAATAATTGTATACACGGTGCTCAATAAACTGATGATCTACCTGACATTCACAACAGCTTCACCCAGTTCTGCAACAAGAATTTGTTTAGTTAACTATCATGAGATTATTTATTTATTTATTTATTTCAACACATAAATATCGGTACAAGAGGGCACCAAATATATATGCGCCACACCATAATTGTGTGCTTGGGCTGTGATACAGCCCGGGTGCCCAAACCGAAGCAAGTGGTTTTCTTAGGGGGCCACTCCCCGAGCCTTTGACCCAAAGGTCTGATCCACAAGGCAGTGGAGCATCGTAAGGAGATGCATTCCCTTGGTAGCCGGTGACCAACGATTGGTTCATACGCCGGACATTCGCTTTTCGTCCTCTCATTTTCGTAAACACCCCTGCCACGAGAAGGCGATGAGTAGAACTTCCCTGGCAGAGGCTGTATACGCGTGGCCGTGTGAGAGCATTTCGACAAGGAGGGCAAACCTACTCCACTCTCGGTCATACCAGGGCATACTGAATAATACATATGCCATACTATTTTCTGCTCAAATTACATTAATTATTCCAATCTACAGCTAATACACTGTTCAAAAACAAGGTTAAATAATATCAAACTGAAAACCTACGATAATTCATCTACTTTTCTTTTAATAAAAGAAACAGAAAAGACCATTTCCAATAACACTTACATCAATAATTTTTTTATCGGTAGATAAAAGAAACACAACACAACGTGAATTCTAGATATCAAGAACTGATGATATCATTCTACTACGAGATCGGATTTACCTGGCGGAACTATTAAATTCATACAATGAATTTATATTGTTTAATTCATTCTTTATTTATAGTTTATTGATGAGATATAATTCTTCGTAGCTAACTTAGTGAGAACTACAGAGGCATTACACTACTGTCAATACCAGGGAAGGACTTCAACAGAGTGTTGCTGAACCGGATGAAAGATGCAGTAGACGCCCAACTTCGAGATCAACAAGCTGGATTCCGTAAGGATCGGTCGTGCACAGGCCAAATTGCGACACTATGGATCATCGTCGAACAATCAGTTGAGTGGAACTCGTCACTTTACATCAACTTCACCTATTATGAAAAGGCATTTGACAGTGTAGACAGGAGGACATTATGGAAACTTCTTCGACACTACGGAGTTCCTGAGAAGATTGTCAATATTATCCGGAACTCATACGACGGTCTACAGTGCAAAATAGTGCATGGAGGACAGCTGACAGATGCATTCCAAGTAACGACCGGAGTCAGACAAGGCTGTTTACTCCCTCCCCTCCTTTTTCTTCTAGTGATCGACTGGATTGTGAGGACCTCGACATCTGAAGGAAAACACGGTATACAATGGACAGCTCAAAATCAATTAGACGATTTGGACTTCGCAGATGACCTAGCCCTCCTATCGCATACACACGAACAGATGCAGATAAAGACAGCTAGTGTAGCAGCAGTCTCTGCATCAGTAGGCCTCAGCATACACAAAGGGAAAACCAAGGTCCTCAAATTCAAAACGGAGAACAGCAATCCAATCACTCTTGATGGCGAAACTCTGGAAGATGTAGAGTCCTTCACATACCTGGGAAGCATCATCGATGAACAAAGAGGCTCAGATGCAGACGTAAAGGCAAGGATTGGCAAAGCAAGGGTCGCATTCCTACAATTGAAGAACATATGGAACTCAAAACAACTTTCAACCAATATCAAAGTGAGAATCTTCAATACGAACGTCAAGGCAGTTCTACTGTATGGAGCTGAAACTTGGAGAACTACAACGACCACCATCAAGAAGGTACAAGTGTTTATAAATGGCTGTCTACTGAAGATACTCAACATTCATTGGTCGGATACCATCAGCAATAGCCTTCTGTGGGAGAGAACAAACCAACTTCCAGCTGTAAAAGAAATTAGGAAAAAAACGATGGAAATGGATAGGACATACATTACGCAAATCATCAAACTGCATCACGAGACAAGCCCTAACTTGGAATCCTGAAGGAAGGCGGAAAAGAGGAAGGCCTAAGAACACATTACGTCGGATAATAGAAGCAGATATGAAAAGGATGAATAACAACTGGAAGGAGCTGGAAAGGATTTCCCAGGACAGGGTTGGATGGAGAATGCTGGTGAGCGGCCTATGTTCCTTCACGAGGAGTAAGAGGCGTAGGTAACCTTAGTGTGTTAGACAGAAACCTTTAAGGAAAAACTACTGTAAATAAATCAGAAGTAAAAGTGCTATCCATATCAAATTTTATCTAATACAAGTAATAATTAATCGACCGGTTAATTTTCGTTCACACAGTTCTTAGAATTATGTACTGTGTTCAATGTTCAAATCAAAATTGTCTTACACCTTAATGAGAAACGTAACAAAAAGAAAACTTTCATTCAAATTTTTTTGCGGATTACGTCTAGTCACATGACATTACCAAGTCGACCTTTTTAGTATTTTTATACAAATAAACAATGATTATCGCTGGAATTATTTTAAAATATGTCTCATGACTTTAAAGCAACTCCCAAGACCGTGAAAACACTACATTGTAGGACAAAATAGAACTATGACAAAACTTTGCAAGACTTAACACTAATTGAAATGGAAAGACAAAATTAATTGTCCATTAATATTACATTGTTTCATAGTTTTAAGTAGAGCTTACTAAAATAAAAACAATTGTTCAAATGTGAATTGAATGACTAATATAATGCCCGAAGACTTTGACAATCATGAACAACTAGAAATATTGAACCGAATGTTAATAACCCAAACTAAGCTTCATGCATGAACAACTCCAATGCAAAAAGATTTACTTCCAGTGAAATAAACTAATATATTACAGTTACAATGAACTGTATTTTATTAGAAATTAAATACTAGACAGATAACATTGAAGATAATATACAAATTAGAAAAGAAACGACGATTAACTTTAATTTATCTTTAGAATAGTCAAATACAATAACCCACACAAACACAGTCAATAATTCGACTGCTCTTCAGTGTGATCAATTTAATGTAATAACTTCAACAAAAATACAAGAAACGATTCTATTTTAATTTTTTGGAAAACAGAAAGAAATTACGTAAACGGAAAGCTATTCGAATATAAATATCAGAATAATCAATTAGAAGTCTATGTAACATATACTTTTTGCTTAATTCTATTTATTAAAAATGACCTCAATCATTAAATTAATTGATAAAAATTAAGTTTGAAAGAAATGAAAATTGAAAAACGTGATAGTTTATCACATACCAGTTTGGAAATCACAAAAATCAACTGTGAATCCTTCCAATTGCATAATCTCTGTTGGATCCGATTTACGCTCTTTGTAGGATGCCATGATAAACGTATACTGTGACACCTATGGACAATATAAATTTAAAGGAAAAACAATACCGAAACTATATATATATATATATATATATATATATATATATTTTTACTTTTAGTTCTCTATAGACAAAACTTTACAAACTATTATTGAAACAAATAATTGTAAAAATAAACTTTTATCTATGCAACTAAGGGGAAAACAAAAGTTAGTCCCACCAAATAAACAACACAAATGTATAAACGAAGAATATTCTTTACAATAACGTCTTATTCGATTATACAACCACAGATCCAAATTACATTTTCAGAGACAACCAAAATTAAGACAAACTCATTCGTAATTATATTATTATTGCTTTCACCCTATTATCTACATTTATTCCGATTATTGACATTTTAGTTTCAAATGACCTATAACAATACACACTAATCATTTCAACACCAAACTTTTATCTTGCTAGCAACCCCTAATTCGTATATGATCATCTTTAAGGATGTATTTTTCTTCGATGTAACTACCACTTTGAAAAGTTACTTTGGGTATATAACTAAATCTAATTAAAGTAAACATCTACACAAGAAAAGCAGGAAATTGAAAAATACAGCCTAATGAATTCGAAAATAGTATACTATTGATGACTAGTATTTGACCCCGATGTGATAGAACGAATGATGTTATCAAAATATACATCCCAGCTACCCTCGAATATAATTATCGACTTAATTCACGTTAGAGAATAACGGAATAAAATAAGTCAAATACGAGTAAAGTTTGAATACGTGTATTCTGTACACTCAATGTTATGAACAGACAAACAGAGAAACGAAGCGGAGCGGAGGTGAGTGAGCCAACTCCTTTTGATCAGGAGTGACTCAATATTTATAGTCAGGCAAAAATAAGTTTCAGATATGTGATGAGTAAGATAAGCGATACGCACATATACACTCATGTAAAAATAGTAAAGGTCAACAGGTGAATAATTGACAAGGTCCAAATGTGGCTCAAGAACAATGAATATATCAATCTGTCTGGAAGCTATAATAACCCATGAAGGCTTAACATAGTACTAGATACTACAATACCAATTATAACGTCTCTTAATGTTGTATAAAAAAAGCTCAACATACATTTTAACCTTGACATTAACACCCTATTTTTGTCGCATAACAGCTAATAGACAACCTAGTAATGACAATACTGAAAAGCTATAAAACTTAGAAGAAAAACTTTGAATAAAATGAATCAATATTAAGCATCTGATTATATATTTATGGACCAGTGAAGTACATCATCTCATTGGCTTCCATTTAAAAAAAAAACGGGTTAAAAGTTGAAGGATTTTAAGTATACCTGATATATAGCCTTAATCACTCGAATATATCAATGTCATCAAAATCACAACACTAGCCGATAAGTAGTGTGAAAAACTTTTTTCTCCAGTCTTTTTATTTAGTTATTTTTAAGTAAGTTTCATTTGCTATAGGGACAATTTTAAGGCCAACATCGAAAATTAAGGATACATATTTTTACACATAGCTGAAATTTCTATCATCCTATTTTATACTTCACGCATATGATTTATGGGTTTAGAATAGTTATCGTAAAAGAATACAGGAAATAATGAGATAAAACACGTTTAGAAAAGAAAATTATAACTACATTTATGTATATCTTTGACACTAATGAGTAAAGAAAAAGAAAAACGAAAATTTGAAACGAGAGTTGAATTTGAAAGTTGAGAAGACAACAAAATTTCCAAGTAAACTATTTGTTTATTTAAGGATGTAAACGGATTTTTTATACTTTTCCAATCAGTAATCAGCTATAATATTGTAATGTTTAACCTAAATAAGTATTGAGGCTAGTATTTTAGATGCTGTATTAGTCAAACTAATCCCTTTATGATAATCAGAGAACGATTTTAATCCTTCCTTATATATTGTGACAATCAGTGATTGTGACCACTCACAAAGGATTACATCTAGTTTCCAGATTTTAGCTAAAATATCAGTCAACCTAATCGCCAAAACTGGATATCCATCCCTAAAGACTACTGGAGTTAATCCATCTGGACTAGGTGACCTTCCTCGTTTCAGATTAACTATGGCTTTTTCAACTTCAATTAGAGTCGGGAGGCCTATTTCAATGTTCCATTCAGGCTGTTTGGAAATGGTGGGTAGCTGTAGAGTAATTGAAGGTCAGATTAACTAATCCTTAAATTGGTCTACGCAACGTTCTAAACGTCTGGACTAACAGCAGATAAGAGTGTCGTCTTTTCCCAAGATCACCTCACTCGCTCTTGCCTTCTTAATCTCGGTTTCTTTTATTAGTCTGAAAAGCTGTCTTATGTTACCTACAGCCGCTGCCTTTTCCATCTCTTTTGCTTTCGTTTCCCACCACTGCTCACGATCGTTCCGTAAACTCTTGGTTAACCTCAATCTGATTTGTTTTAGCTCGTCATCGTATTTAGAGCCTGATGGGATGAGTCTACGAGAGTCTATCAGTGAAATAGATGTAGCAGAAATCCACTGGTTTCTCGTAACACTTTGGTTCAAATCACTAACAGATGTCACTGATATTTCCACAGCCTTTCGTATATCTTTCCAAGCAACGTCTAGGTCAGCCTCGTTTTCAGAACTACCGAAGTGTGACCTCAGTATTTTCTGGAACCTACTTTCGATTTTCTCATTACTCAATTCAATTCTAATGAATCTTTTTAGTATGGCATTCCTGCGTCCAGTGAGGCGCAAGCAGATGCGTGCTCGTATTAGAGCATAGTCGGAGCCCAAACAGGTATTCTATAATGAGCGACAATCTTCTATCGACCCTCTCCAACGATGACTGATGGCAATATGGTCTATTTGAGTCCATTGTTAATTTGGTGCAGGGGGCCGCCATGTTAGGTGATGTCTCTCCTTATGCTTAAAATTAGTGTCTGTTAAAAATAAACGATTGTCTGAGCACATTTGCAGCAGACGATCACCATTATCTACTATCTTGTCTATATCTACCATCAATTTCCTACTGAATTAAAATAAATATTACCGTCGTAACATTTTCAATAAATACTGTATTCAAGCCAAAACTGACAACAAAGTGTATCTCTATAAGCTATATCACAGAGTAACTCTGTTCAGTCATAATAGCAAGTAGTACTGCAACGAATAGAAAACTTTACAAGTGCTTGATTCAATTTGTCTTTGTACAATAGTGTGAAAATTTATTTTATCACAGTACATGTATTTGTTTGAAATACAAGAAATTAAAACATTTGTGATACAATATATACTAGCTAATAAATGATTAAAATTTTAATTAGTATATCGATATAGATTGATTGAATATTATGAAACATTACAGACCTGGTATATTATAACTACAAAATGGTTATCATCACTATACACTGATTTGGAGAAGATTAGCAAGTATGTGTTTGTGTAGATGTGAGTAAACTATCAGTAGTTTTAAAATTATCTATGAAATAAATTCACATTCATGATAAGTGACTACAAAACCAGTTAGTTAACTTAGTTTTAAACCAAAGTAATCAAGATAGAAGAGTTTATATGAGGTACTACATTTTTTTTAAAAAAAAGCAAAAATATTATTCACTAATAAGTTTCAAACACAAACGAGACACCTGTTTCATCCTTTCCAGCTTCTAATTGGTTCTCTATAAAATATTAATGTATAAGCTAAATTACCATAAAAAAACAATTGTAAAGATGCTTAAGTCAACAACACATGTATAAATATCCACAAACATACACACATAAATCAACATTGAGTTTTGACTATTGAAGAAAACATTCCAAAAAAATATTCCAATCCCCTTACGACAAAGAAATATTAGTGTTTTTACTGTACGCCTACATAAAACATAGAAGAAGATAAACGATAGATGAGATCATTTTACGATAGTAACAAAAAGATCAATATTAATTATTTGAATGATTTCAAAATAATAGATTGGTCAATTTTCATAAATCTTTGTAACTATCTTAAAGGGTAGAGCATCTGTTTACTTATTTGACTATTAATTTATCTATCTATGTTTTTGCGTTACTCGCAAACAAACAAACTTAAATTATCCATTATGTCAGGTATCAAAGAACAAAATATTATCTGACGGGAAATAACTGTCATATCCCTCCAGAATACACCAATTTATTTCAGTGACAGAAATAAATAAATGACCAGAGAGAGAAGAAATTAAATGAATTGAAAAATTCTTTTCGTCACTGGAAAAATGAAAAAAAATCCAAGTTTGAATCAAAGAAGATCCAACGGACGTCATACATTTAAAATTATAATAATACTAATAACTACAGTACGATTAAAGGTAGGAAAAAAAAGGGAAGAAAATAGAAAAAACAGTAGCAAGCCAAATAACCAGCTAGAAAAATACCTTTATAGTGACATTTCAGTAAACTAAAGCTTTACTCAGCATAAATGAGAATAGGTAGTGAGATTATATGAAGACTATAAAACGTAAAACGAATAAATAGCTGAAATGCTTGATTTTTGGGAAATTACATGAATGTTTCGAATCGTCAATTCATACGATATTAAGGATATCACTCGTTGAAAATTGATAACTAGCACAAAATCTAGGCTTGAAGCTTCCTGTTAATTGTCTATCGAACGCCTGGCAACGAACACGACTTATCTATTGGCAAGTAAGTTGGAAGTTCATATAAACCGAAAACGATATCGGAGGTGAACATACATTTCATAGGTGATTAGATGATGACGGTGAACTAATATCCCTATTCAAAATACTATAATAAAGTTAGGTGAGCAAATGTTTCATCTTGACTAAATTTTATTCTAAACGAACTATAGAATTAAAACTTAACAAACTGATTCATTAAATTGCAACTGTACCTTGGTATTATTCTATTAGTAACACAAGATTTGCAGAAAATTTCAGGTATGATAAGGTTTTCAAAGAATGAATTGAAAATAAGGATTTTAATATGCAATGTAACAAGTCTGTTCGATATTCTCAAAATATTCCTTAGACACACACACACACAACATATCAACCTGTCTTTAAAAATGTACCACCTATGAATTAATAACTTAAAGAAAAACAAAATCTAAAAATGATACAAATTTAGTAATAAAATGAAACACTATATGGATTGACTTTGATTGTTCTTTAAACTTCAAGATACTCTTATTGAGATAAATATACAATAAAATAAAGATTAAGTTGTGACAAAAAACCTCACAAACTTGCAAACAATATTGAAACAAAGATTTATGAAAAAATTTGGCGTAATAATGAAAGAAAATAAGAGATGAGAATAACAAGTTTTAGCAGACATGAATTCAATGTTAAGAAAATTGAGGCTTGAATCTTAATGACAATATTTTGCAACATAATTAACAAATTAATATAAAAGTCTTTCATACATAGTGTCATCTCGAAAACCCTAATAGATATTTTTATAATCTTTACTAAATAAACTAGGTAACAGCTTTTTTTAAAGAAAAGTAAGAAATAAGATAAGATGACAAACATGATAACCATGAGAGTATTGTCTAACCTGTCAAAGTTATCATCTTCCATCTAACACAACAAGTGCAACAATAATTTACAAACAACACTAAAACGGAAGTTTAAACATGAATATAGCAAAAACAACATACCTGTATTAAGCAAATATAACGTCGTATCCATTTTCGAAATGCTGTTCGACCTAATGCATATAAATAACCACAATGTTTTAGATTATTTGGTTTCTCCATACGCAATGTGAGTTGTAGTTGTAAGTCATCCGGTACATTTTTAGAAGTTTGTAATTTATACCATTCTGGTTGACGATTACCAGTACATGTAGGATTTAAGATAACCTAGAAAATAATATCGAGAATTTATATAAATAATGTCAACTCATAATAGTAATTATAAATGCAAATCAGCTATTAAATTATCTTAATATAATAAGCTTTGATGTATGCGTTCGATAATTTTGGTCCCGAAAATCTGATGTGTATTGTAGAATAAAGCATAATACTCTTTTAAAAGTCTACTGCTTTATTTATTGAGATATCACAAAAATAGTTGCGTTAAGTAATTAATGATATAAAGAGTGATACAAGAAAAGGACCAAGCGGATTTTTTTTTCAGTAACTTTGTTATAAGAAGCAGGCTCTCAGTTATATATATATCACCATTTTGGAGTTAATTTTTCGCAGCTAGATGGTTCAATTGAGAGCTTTCCATTGTCATTCTAGACGACATCTTAAGTATTTTTATACGACGCAGGAGACCATATACCAATCGCTATTAATAAATAAAACGGTAAAATTGATTGCAATTATACACAAAAAATATATCTAAAATTCACCTCATGATACTGTAAAGAAACATCGTTAATAATTACAAAAAGATTGTAAAACACAATGTTGATTAAACATTTCTATTCGATTACAGCATTAAAGATAAGAATTAGGGAAAATATGTTATTTTAAGATGCGACATCGCTGTTATTGAGTGTTCTACTTACGAAATCATCTAATTAAGTGACAGAGTTATAGAAAAGGAAATATACACTATGAACCATCCAGATTATTATTACAGTTAAAATGTATCGAGAGCGTAAATCTCAAGCTTAAAGGAAAAATATGCAGACTAATATAGTTGTTCTCGAGTGGAAGCCTGCCTTTTGGCGTATGCAGACTAATGCATGGAGTGACAGAAAAGTATCAACGTTCTCACTTTGGACTCCACATATGGATTATGCGTGAATCTTTTGTAAAAGCCGTAACGATTAACTACTCTCCGACGATTTAATTAACTTTATCTGCCCATTACATTTACATGTGGAAAAATAAATATTGTTAGAGTAGCCTTTGCAAATGTTTTACTTGCGAATTGAGCAGAAAGATCTAAAGGAAGGAAACTGAACAAGGAAATTAGTTGGAAAGGATAATATACATGCCTTTTTAGAATTAATCACTTTACAGAATAAAGATATTTGAACGGTACCTAGTTACTATTCAAATACAGTTGAAGATTTATTTAATGCTATTCATATTATTCGAAGAAAAAAGAAGACGACGAGAAGTTTAGGAATAAACAGTCACAAAACTAAGATGAAAGAACCTTCAAACAATAAATCCAAACTCAGTGTTCATATTTCCTACGATTGATAGGTAATGCACCCACAGATATATTAAAAAGCTATATAGAGGCAATCCTCACAGAATGCACATATGCCTACATGAGACTGATCAACTGCAGTCCTAAATAACAATGGGAAGATACAAGTAAAACAACACCAAGTAAATTTAAACTTCACTGCACAAGCAGGTGGCTATCAGGACTCAGTGGCTAAGTGGATAACGCGTTTGAAGTGAACGGTACTGGGTTCGAGTCCCAGAGTGAACATCGACTCTGGGATGCAGGTACATCCAGCTGACGCGTCCTAAATTACTCATGATTAACAGATATCTGTATGAAAGCAATCAAGATGATCATTCATATAAAGGAACACTGATCAGAACTCAGGGTTTACAATATTATATATATATATATATATATATATATATATATATATGCTAAGGGCTATGTATGATTCCTGGTACACAATCACATCATCGGCAAGGGTTAAACATAAGATTATAACTGAAGGTGAGTATATAGTATATTTTGTTTGAACGACTTAAAAACATTTTGAATGGTTTTGAACTTTAAGAATTCTCAGTTTCTTTCATCTGATACTGCGAAGTTCATTTGGCACGGTACATGACTACCAGTAATAAATATTGTATATTCTGTTTGGTATCACAGGATATGACTTTTGCAACAACTTGCATTTGATTAAACTTCTCATATGCTCTCTTCTTGAAAAAAAGTTAACATGAACTCATTATACAAACAGGAGGTAAATAGTATAATTTTGAGAAGAGCAGACAGGAAGACATATTAGATAACCACAACTATTGTAACTAAAACTGAGAAACCACTAGTTTCACATAGACTTCAACAGTTCATCAACGATTACGTCAAGTCTCATGACTTTTACAAGCACAAGTAAGCAAGAATATTTGAGTGATACAGATGGACGTAATAAAAAGTTGACGTAATAGCTGTAAGCTTATTTTACATAATACCGGATGAGGTTAAGGGATAGACAATAGTGCACTCTTACAACCAAGGGCTGAGAGATGTTAAACGGTTAGCCTTTAAATATATATTAGATCGTTATTTAGAAACTATCAAAGGGACATTTCGATGTTTAAGGAAGCTCCAGTAATTAAGTATATTTAAAACTTTTTAATGTTATTAAAAGTAAACGTTTTCTCACCTTGCACCCATCCTACAAATCCTTGGTTCATTTTAAACCCTAATGTAGTATACTTACAATTTATTATATAACAAATCAACACTTTGTTCAACATTTCATCATTTTCACATAATAAGCCTCCTATTTGTAAATATATAGTTCAATTAGTCAAAGCGTATTGCATGAGGATATCTCATTTTCTTCATCTGATCTTCGTCTTTTTATTACACCATCCACATTTAGAAATAAAAGGGTTAACTGTTTCTATTGCTTTCATTTGAAATATCCACTATTCCAAAAGAACAGAATAGATGTAGGATTTAACAATAAATTACAACTTATTTGAAAAGGGTTGGTCCTTACAAAATGAATAGATTTAGGGCATATGTTTATTCACACTCATATATGTTATGTTAATTTGACCAAAAAAATGTAATAAGAGATGTAATTGATAACAAAATGTAAAGCACATATTGATGGACGAGTAAGTAGTGTATTTTAATTCTAGGGCATTGCATTTGTACTAGTATATGTGAAATTCAGTTGCAGGTTACCGGTTTTACATGATTTATTCATGACTATAATTTACTGCAGAAGTTTAATAATTAAGATAAACTATGTAATATAAAAATAGTCAACTAAGAACCCAATTACTTAAAAGATCAATTAACTGCAAGTGTTCACCATGAAATCTTATCAGTTAAAGAATTACTGAGAACTAGAGAGTACTCAAGAGATATTGTTTTATAATAGACTTAGAATATTTACTTGAATAAGGCAACTGCTCAGTGATCCATGAAGATTCAGTCAATGAAAAAAACGGCTCCGAAAAAAATCGGACCACACAAACCATCTGGCCAAAACGAAGAAACGTTAACGAGAAACAATGAAACAAGAAGCTGAAGAAGGATGAACAGTGGATCGCAATTAAATACTAATTTGGTATAAAGTAGGTCTATAAACGAGATGTAAATATACACGTAACACAGATTCTTTGATTCAGATCGATAATGTCTTCCAAAAGTAATTTTCTACACCCGTAACTAAAATAGCACGAAGAAACTTAACAACACAGATCTTACATCATAGAATTAGAGGCTCAACGAGACTATAAATTACGAAGGCATTTTAAAGATTAAAAGCCCATTTCTTACTTAATATCGTCTTCAAATAGAATGAACATAAGAATTTGACAGTTTCTGAGAAAAAGATTATTATTCTTTAAAAAGCCATGTTTAATGGTTTAGTAGAATAGTTTGTAACAAGCATCATTCATTGGTGTTTACGTTGAAAAAGGTAACTGAGATCTGAAGGATTACCCTAAAAAAGTGACCTTCAAGCTTGTAATTCCTGGAAGATCAGCGTTACATGTATAGATATTTTATTAACCATTTATTTTCCAATAATTTAACTTCCAAGACTAATCGAATGTTCAGCATGGAGCTTTAAAAATTTTAAGCGGGAAAAGAAATGATAGCTGGGAAAGTTATGCAGATTTATTGAGGACCAATGTTATTATTCCTAGCATTTTCCAATATCATAATACTAGTAATCGTTCTAAATGAAACGTTTCTAGACCCTATCAATACGTTTTTAAAAGGCGTTGCCAGAAACAACAAGTTGAACTTCAGTTCAAAGTTAAATTTCTTCGAAACACTAATTTTTGAGCTGTATAAATTAAAATCCATTTCAAATAATTTAGGTAGCAAAAATATATCAATTTAAACATAACAAGAGGTCGAAAGGATTCAACCTTCAAATAAAATTATTGTCCTCAATAGTTATATTCGTAGATAATAAACAACGGCGAACTTACGCGACCCAACTCTTTGCCGCTATCAAGTGATAAAAGTCCAGAAGTTTCGGCATACAATTTTACCTTGACTGTAGGAAGAGGTTGATTAGTTGAAAAATCACCCTGTGTACCCCACCTGAAGTTTGAAAAAATGGGAAGAAATTGTTCTATCCCTTAACAAAGTATGGTAACTATTATTGATGGTGAACATTGTAAGTCTTTGCACTAAAAAATTTAATCAATGTACATACAGCAAGATTAAAATTAACATGTTCGAGGATGATAAATGACTAAACTAACAGATCAAGCTTGAAACAATGATTTTTTTTAACCCAGTAAAACGACGGAATTCGTTAAACCCAAAGCTTAATAAAGCAACATAGTCGAATAGCAGAAGAACTTACTTATAATTCAATGTCGTATTTTAGCATAGACCGGAGAAAAGTTACATTGTTATTAATAACTATGAAACTGTATTTGGTTTCATATATGAACCTACTGCCTGAATAAGACCAACACTTCCTGTACAGTGTTTCCCAAAAATTCACATCTTTTTACTTTATAAATTTAATAATTTAGACCGAAACAGAGACTGAGAGTACCCAATAAATGTTACTTTCCCTGTCTAACAAAAACGTATTCAAACTAAAAGTTTTAACTAACTTTGAATGTGTTTCCAAGGTTTCGCTTACCCAGAGCATAACCCTATGAGACAAGTCACCCTATTTCTATCAAAACACTTTCATATTTGAAAGAAAATCAATCATAATTTCTTGTTGTTCATCAAACATCAGTCAATAATTAATCAACCGTGTTCACTAGAGTTATTAAAATTACTTTTCTCCATCTTGTTTTATTTTCATTACTCTTCCTCTCTTAATTCCTTTCATAAAATCTAACACTGATTTCATTTATTTTTTATACAGCACTGTTTTTTATCCCAAAGGCATAGAATACTTATTTTGTGAAATTGGTTTTTGCCAAAATAAAAACAACGGGAAAATTAATCAACCGACTAATCAAACACGGAATAACGATATCAACACTTAAATTAGTGTTGATTAAAAATTAACATAATCTCTACATAGTATACGGTTTTTCCCTATAGTATGACTGATAAAAAGCGCTTAACGTATCTTATTGGTAGTTTAGAGACTGAATCTCGATCGGTCTTTAGTGAGATATGTATATCCGATAGGGATCGCCCTGATTTAAATATCAATATCAGAATACAGATACATCCAGCTGATGAGTCCCGAATATGATGAGGCGCGCACATCAAATTCTACTGCTAGCTATAGAAAATTTATTCTAGATATCTTGTATCATAATGGCTACATTGAGGCAAACCGCATAGGATGCACAAAGACAAAAAATATATATCGAAATACAGTGAAGAGTAATAACAACAGGATAATCTACAACATGCCGATTTACTCGTAAAAAATCTACTACAATATTACAGTAGTGCATTTTGCTGTATGTTACGATTGTGAAAAAGGAACAAGAAAGACAATGTAATACAAGTGTACATTTTTCTTTTCAGTGTTCATGGTGATCTAACACTTCTCATGTTTGATCATACTATGAGATTTGTACGCTCATAATCTTCACAAATATAACAATCTGAACATATACAATGTTGACGCCATAGTTTTATTATACTCGAGTTAATTGAATTAATCCATCTTTATCTTTCAGATGTTTTTGGATCATCCACATATGATCTCAAAAGAATACGGTGAGTCAAATTCACTGTAATTTCGTGAACGTTTGTTTTTATATGACAAAATAATAAAAGAAAATAACCAATTTGAATTTTTGTAAATAATGTGAATATAACAAAATAACCAACACGCAAATAGATAATAATCTAGCGATGAGCAAACTACGATTAGGAGTTTCCAACGACTAAGCAAACGGCTAGAGTAAAGAAATATGGTTCCACAAATTCACAACGACTGAAAAGTTCAGGCTTATTTATATACATTTTTACGGACACCAATGTACTTAAAAGGTAAAAGCATAAAGCAAATGACAAGCTAGACAAAATTTGATAGATAACTATGCAAGTTAACCACACAAATATTCGTTGTAGAGAATTGACTAGAATTAAATAGACGAAATCGTTCAAGTGCATGATAAACCACTAAAAAGAAACAAAAAAAAATGAAATCTCAACAGTCATATACCCTTTATTCACAATCAATCAACACAAGGTACGCAGTCGGCAATATGCTACTTTCTACAATTAAAATTTCATTCCTATTCATTCACCTGTCTATTTCTACATTACTGTAGTTCTATAATAATACACCTTTTAATCAGCTGAGTTGATCAAAGATATATTTCCTTTACATGATTCTCTTTAAACTTGTTTTTTTTATAAAATAAATTAAAATATTGTATTTAGATATTTGCCCTTATTTCAAACACACTCTCCGCCTCTATTCACATTCTCACTATAAATAACAATAATGAAAACAAATCTTGATTTGAGAGTAACAAAAAAAACGATACAGGATGACCTTGAAATATGATTTTCTCTCTGTTTGCTCTGAATAGGGTAAAATATTTCTGGAAACATAACAGATAATGAAAAAAGACAACATTCATAGAGAAAATGTGATAATGGGAATTTAAAATGAAAAAAAAATCAATGAAGGGGAAAACTGAAAGTACATCAAGTATATACATTTCAAGAGGTAAGAAAATATCCTAGATATTGAAAATAGTACACAAAGATGAATTAGGCAAACAAACATTTACCCTTCTCCAGTTAAAAAACAATCTACAAAACTACGTTGATCAATAGTTTAAGGATATTTATAATTTAATTACGACACTAAATTTCAAAAAAAAAGTCAAAGTAAAAATGTTATTACTAAAAACGTCCTTGCTGTATATGATTAGATAACAATTTTAAGATATATATTATAATATAATAAATGAACTTGACTACTGCTTATTTAAATATATACATTTATCTATAATGTACTGAAACTGTTTAATCAGTGATTAAGGTTAATGAGAAGAATATCGCCTGTAAACTGTAATAAATCTCTACAAAATCATTTTAGTACAATAATTAATTGTTAAGGACGCAAATAGTTATTTATTCATTGCTGACAACTTACACTGGTTTCCCAGCTTCAGCTAAATCAGTTTGTAATCGAGCACCACCTTCAACCTCCATGGTACAATAAACCATTTTATTAGTTGGTAGATGTTTCAGATTTTTCACTTGACCAACAACAATCTGTTAGTAATCAAAACAACAAAAAATGACCAGATTAAACAAATATTAACAGGAAAAAGTAACACTGTTGCAATAAAAACTCAAATTTATATTACATTAAGTGGCCCCGGAAAAAAAGACTATTGATCAGCTACTGTTATTTATGAATATAGATTATAGGTTTCCTTGAACATGAATAACAGCGGCGAAAGTCTCAATCAAATGATGTATCACTTTATTTGAATCGACCTCGATGTAAATCTATCGGTTTACTTACTCTTATGCACCAGGTTGTACCGGCTAAACGAAGTGTTCTATTTCTAAACCAATTTTACAGTGTTATTCTAAATGGCTATCAAAAAGTGATTGAGAAACATTTACCAGCTCGATTATCGAAAACTTAGTCAACTCCTGTTACTTAACCTTACCAGGAGTATCCTGATAATCATCAATAAATGTACATAAACCGATGCAAATAGAACACAAATCAGGAAATCGTACACAAGCGGAAACATCGATCCAAGATGCCGTATTTATTTCAGTTTGTTTAAAAGTATATTATCAATAAAACTCACAATAAAACATGCCTCGAACCCGAATAAGCGCATTTGTGCTTAGGTTCGCTGCCGAATTAGTCTAAACACTACTTAAAAAACGATTTTAAAAGTACACTTTTAAGTAATCAACTATTAGGACATATATATACATTCGCGTGAAAGTATGGGTGTGTATGTGTTTTAATCTACTCAAGTAACCTAATTTATGTAGCTATATTGTAAGATGAATAGGAAAAAAAATTATCATTTTCCACCGAATAAATCATTTGAATAAATTAATAAATAGAGATCAATGACAGCAACAAGCACAACAGCAGAAATAATAATAACGAAAGCAAAATAAAAAGTAAAAGAAATATAGAGTAAAAGTATAGAAATCATTATCATTATTATTATGATTATGACCATGATTATTTTTATTATTACTATCATTATTATTATTACTATAGGTCTGCTGTTACTAATGACGGTGCAATTTCATTTGTAGTTGAAGAAAGATAATCGTTAAAAACAAAAAAGTTTATTTATTTAACTAGAATTTAACTATTTTAAAACTGTACATTTATGTACACGCCGACTATGCCACGCTTCCACAATAACAGATGGAAAGAGGTAATTAGAATGATGAGAAAGGAAGGGAAATGATATCTATTTTGACATAAAGGGTAAACACAAGCGTCTAAAGATAAGGGATGTTAAAGATGAAATTGAAAAAAAAGAAACCACAATGGTGGTTCGCAAGTGAATTGAAATTATCCATATCCTTCAATAACAGTAAAGTGCTTCCCTCTGATAACCAACATCTGCAATAATACTGCTTTCTCGCAACAAAAGGAAGGAATTAGAAGAGACCATCCCCCAAAATGTTATACCTGACCTTCGATCTCCAACAGTAAGACCTTTTAAAGTGCAGAGCTAACACATTTAAAACTTCCCATAAAAAGGCTGTGAGCGACCGAACTCAATTAGTTGTCCCTTGGGCTCTGCGGTCACGCTCCCAGATCACAAAGATCATCAATAGTTCAGCTTCCTTTCCAGGTGTCTTAAGAAGAAATATCCTCCCACGGTGTAGGTAGCTTGGAAGTGACAAACAACCTCATAACACCATCACCATGCGAGATCATCTTCCTGATGACCAATCCCTCCCTCACCTCTTAAATAATTCTTCGACCCCCACAACTAACACTTCTTGGACATATTTATCACGACGCGCTACCAATACTAATGAATTGAGATCACGAAATGTTACTCTTAGTCTACTGAAACCACTCTTTAAACTACACGTTGTAGACTTTATTGTTTGAACCTTGTGTCAGATAGGATAACAGGCTTCTTTAGCTAAGAATCTAGAGACTCGCGCCATCGGTTTATGCTGCATCTCCGAAATGATCTTACAGGATCTAAGTACATTAATTCATTTGACCTCACCTTGTCAGTAGCTAGAACTGGCTCGATTTAGCTTTTGAGTATCTGGAGACCTCATTGTTACTCCCCTTAATCTCTTTAGTGTAGGTATAACATTAAATTCAAAAGTATGACGGGTTCTGTAAGGCTGGATTCCAAAAAACGGTCTCTTGTGCGCTGTCCGACTAAATGGGACAGTAACAACTTGAAAAAGATAGGGATAGATACTATAGCCTCTTCTTTTTCTACGCCGACGCTCCCAATTATTTCAACTTGAATGGAATTAAGTGTGAACTTTATTATTATTATTATTATTATTATTATTATTATTATTATCAACTTTATTCAATATAATATTTTTAGTGCAATATAGAATCATCAGCACAAAGTATTTCAACAAGTTTCCGTTTCCCACTTCTTGGTCCATACTGATGATAAATATTGAGTGATCGCCAGTTAGATGTTAACAGTCCAGTAGATCGACATCGAAATAATGTACATTCTTTTCGCTGCATTTTGCCAGTAACCACGATATCTCTGCCTGGGCCATTTTTAAATTGTACAACGAGATATTCGACTATCGATCAAGGGACAATTGTACTGTGCATCAGGTCGTCCTGTTCTACTTTACGGCTGCGAAACGTGATCAATAAGAGTAGGAGATACTCGTAAGTTACTAATATTTGACCATAGACGACTTGGAATAATTGCTCGCATCTTCTGGGATCACCGGGTAAGTAATAATGAGGTTAAACGTAGGATATTAGGGAATGATGGTAAAATAGTTGGTGAGGTTGTGAATTTTCATCGACCGAGATGGTTGGGACACGTGCTGCGTATACCTGAACACCGATTATCACGACTCACAATGCTGACTAGTGTTGGGGATGTTTGGGAGAAATTTAGGGGAGGCCAAACTAAAATGTGGCATCAGTGCTTGAAGTCACTATCTTCTAATCTGAGCCATGTTGGTAGATGCAGACTACTTAGTTATGATCCGCGCGACTATCGTAAGCAATGGTTGGAAACTCTGGGTGACATGGCTCAGAATCGATCACAATGGCGTCGGTGTATGCACTCTCTGTCTCCCCTTAAACTAAGAGATTAAAATCGCTTCATATCTTTCTTTCTACGGACTAATTCTCTCTTCCTGTACTATGTCCTTATATACAATTTATCTTTTATATATTACCATCATTGAATTAACTACTTCTATGAATTTGGAGTACATCGCATTGTGCTAATTAGATGCGGCAACTTGGACTGATGTATATATGTGCCTGGTCCTACGTTGTAGCTGACTGACTGAAACAAACCAAACCCTCTGATGTAGTAATAATGGAAGGTGATTTTAATACTCAAGTAGGTAAACTAAACCAAACCTAAAGGCACTTAGGTGGATCTTAATGTGTTGCAGCTAACCGAACGGATAATAGCTGCCGTCTGTTGTAACTCTGCCTAGATAATCTACTATTTCTGGCAGACACCAACTTCAAACATAAGGAGAAACATCACCTGACGTGGAAGCCTCTACAATCGACTCATCGATGGACTTACATATATCAAATTACTATCGATTACCGTTGGAGGGACTAGATAGAAGACTGTCGTTCATCCTGGAGAACAATTTTAGACTCAGATCAGTCAAATTAACTAAGATCTTAGCCAAAAATCTGGGAACTGACTGATCTCGATTGCTGATCGTCCCAGATTATAAGAAAGAACAAAAAACTTTTTGTGACAATCACAGAGGAATCAGTCTAACTAATATAATGTCTAAAATGATAGTCTCAATAATACTTCGAAATCTAACTAGAGCTCATGGAGGCAAAACTAGGTTGGTTGCAGTCCTGGGGGTGAATGTATGGATCAGATATTCATTCTTTGGCAGGCTCTGGAACGGAGACATACTTTTCGACGTCCGACTAAAGTTGTATTCATTGACTTTAAGAGAGTATTCGTCATGATATTCCGTGTTAGTATCTATCATTGAAACACGTATCGATGAAGAACACCAACCATGTACAGGATCCCTACTCGAACACTAATGGTCGAGTCAACTTATGGTGAACTGTTGTCAGAATTGGTTACTTCAAGGTGTTCATCAGGGTTGTTCGCTTTCCCCATTTTTATTCAACTTCGTCATAGACATGCTTTTAGAGACAACAGTCTCGTCTCATTTTCAAGGGTTGAGCTCCTACCAGGAAGGTCATTTTTTGACTTACAATACTCAAATGAGTTTGGTTTGATGAATATGGTATTCTGACCACCTAAGGTAACAAGGCAAGCATGTTTGGGATGCGGTTCTCTTCCTCTAAACGTAAAATGCTAATTCATGATTGGCTTGTGTTATATCCCGAATTAGTGATGGGGATGAAGCAGTTGAACGTATCAAGCGCTTCACTTATCTTTGGAGTATGATCAGTTCTAATAATCTAGTGGCTGATAAAATCCCAGCATGGATTCAGAAGGCTCGATTGGCTTTCGACAACTTGCATCACTTGTGGTGTAAGCGAGATATCCGTCTGTCAACCATAGGACGTTTACTATGCAGAACTTCGCTCCGCTCTACTTTATGGATGTAAAACATGGTCATTAAGAACAGAGGATATTTGTAGGTTACTGGTATTCGACCATAGGTGTCCTCGAAGCATTACTCGTGTATTTTGGGACCACGGTGTAACCAATGCCTAGGTTAGGAATAAAGTACTAATTAAAGATGAGAAATCGGTTGGGGAGGTAATAAATCTTGATCAAATGAAGTATTTGAGACATTTATCATATATGTTCAACCACCGCCTACCTCGATAGAGGATGTTTTCCGTTGTAGGAGTAGGGTGGAAGAAAAGTAAGGGAGGCCAAACCAAAACATGGCATCATTCCATGAAGTCACTGACAATTGGACTTAGCCATATTAATAGGTGTAGACGATCTGGTAGAGTTCACGTGAATATCGTACACAATGGTTAAAGACTTTGAATGATATGGCTCAAAATCGTTTACAATGGCACAGGTACATCCGTTCTTTGTCTTCTCCAAAATTCTAAGCTTTTGAATTCCTGATAAATTGTTTTGTTTTCATTTTACTAATTTACTTGTTCTCGAATCGTATCTTTGATGCTAAATATTTCCTAGTACCAGTGACACTGTCACTGCCTATACTATTCTGGGATTTGGCCTAACAATTTCATCTCTCTGCGCTAATGGAACACGGCAACTTGCACTGATGTATACACGCAACAGATTCTACATTGTGACTGACTGATTAATTTCATCTCCTCGTACTAACACGTTAGGTCAAAGAACATTTGTGTCAAGCGCTATGTTGATCATGTCTGAATGATTCACTTGATATTAAAATGAACAACAACAAAGCTCACCTCAACTGAAAAACTTAATTGAATACCCAATTTGTTCTTGAAGTTCAACTCATTAATTTCATCATTATGTTCTTTATAAGGAAGACTAGGTGAATTTGTACCAGAATTTTGTGAGCGGCTAACTTTTTTAAATTTTTGAAAGCTACTAGAACCTCTTGCCACTGGAACAGACTCTAATCGAAGCATTAATTCACCAACCATTTTACGCAATTCATCTACATATAAACTTTCCATATTTTTTACAACTAAACGAGGAAATTGGTGACTCTAAAATACAAAAACAGAGAGTAGAAAGTACAGACATAATTAATAAAGTAATTGATGCCAATGAAGAAAATATTGAAAATCAACTAAATATAAGAAATATTAGTTTAATTTTTATACTAGTAGTGAGATGCCCAATCGTACAAAGATAAAAACTTCAATAAGTTAATGAAGATATTTAGATTATTTTAAATTTTTATTGATGATTCTGTAGTAAAACTGCACATCATGCCATAAAAAGTGCAGAGTAATCAAACAAGCATAGTCTCAGAAAAATTCCTTAAGAATACAACTGTTCACCAATAATCTTTATCCAGATAACAAACCAATTAACGACCAAGTCAGCCAAACCATATATCCAGTTGGGAGTAAGCAAATTTTCTGATGATCAGCACCAAAGAACTACACAAATGAGATATTAGTCACTTGTCAGTTATTAGTCAATAAAGTTTAATTCATTCAAATCCGAAATAAAATTACTTAACCTCCTAGAAAAATTCAGGCTTGAAGTTGATAAAACTGTTCTCACAAGGTACTCAATTGACACGTCATTTGGAAATAGTAATAAATTATTCATAATATTTAAACAGCCAAGTTAACCGGTATACTTAATTCTCTACTCTAAATGTCTTTTGATCTATCATCAGTGCAATAACTACCAAACAAGTGAATCAGATCCCAACGTTAAAAAAAACTTGAATTGTCTACTAAAGACTTACAGTTGATTTGTTAGATTATATCTAGTTATTTAGATGGATCCAATAATCTATAATTTTATCCTCCTAATATTTGTTTTATAATGTAAACAGAGATAGAAACCATACTACGAACAAACAGAATAACATCTGGTATTCTAATTATGAACAATTCCAGGGAAAAAATCAATTTCAATAACACATAATTATGATATGTGATACACGTAGAAAAGAAAGAATGAAATACAAAATGGCCAATAATTCTAAACAATGAGAATTACATTTCTCAATTAATGACAATAATAATCATCATAGCAATAAAAAATATAAAGTTTAAAACATCTAACCAACAGTAAACGAATTTTCATACACATAGTTCCCTTTATTATCTTAAATAGAGCAAGAACAAAGATTGGTGCAGAATAATATGAATTCATTTTATTTCGTTAGGTTCTCATCAGCTGCTTACAACCTAAATTATTTGAAAATTCAACATTAATACAGATATTGACATATTTATATATAAGAGTGTGATTAAGGATCAATACATGTGTATCATGATGTAGCAAGCAAAGATTCAGATAGAGTTAATGAGCTCATAAAATGTTTGATTCGAATAAATAAATAAAGTTTGAGAGGGAAAGTTCTGGAACATTGAAATAGCGATTAGAACTCATGAAAATAGATTAATGGTAATAAAGAAAATATGAATTGAAATCAATCATTTATGTATGATGTAATTTATATTTCAGAAAGAGTTGCAATAATGACGTAATAAATAAATAAATAGGAGCAAATTAATAGAAAGAGTGGGGGTTATTGTTACCAGGGTAAAGAAAGATTTATTACTGTCTCTTTTTGTATACATAGATCTGGTTTTAAGCGTTTGATTGCTAACGCTTCAGCGAATTTCAAAAGGTTCGAGTTTGATTGTTTGTTAATCACCTTGAAGGACTTCAGTATATCAGCTTTATGTCCTGTATCAAGGAGATGTCTTGCGATAGCACTGTTGAATGCGTTCAATCCATTTAACCTTAAACTTTTCGGAATATGTACTTTGAATCGGACGTAGGCTCTCCTTTCTGTTCTACCAATGTAACTGCTTTGGCAGGTACATGTAAATTTGTATACACAGTTGATGGTAACATGAAAGGGATATCTGTCGACCTTTGATTGTGTCAAAGAGCATGTTGTTTTGGACAGGACAATCGATTTCGCTGCAGGATAAGTTCTTGTAAGTGCAGTTTTTAATCTCATATTGATTGATCCTGTGACATCGTCACCTTTGAATTGAAGTTTAATAAAAATAGGCTTTTAATTTGCTGTAATTTCTTTCGGCTTTTTAAATTCACATTTGCCGTATTTCTCAATAAATTTCAGCGGGTATCCGTTATTCTTTAAACATTTTTTAACATTCATAACTTCCTCTTCTAGTGTATCGGAAGTACATATTCTTTCTGTTCTGTAAAACAGTGTTTTGACCAGTGCCTTTTTGTAACTGATTGGACAAAAGCTATTGAAATTAAGATAACTACCATTCCATGTGTCTTTCTTATAAACTGAACGTTGAACAGTACCATCTTTTCTTCTTTTCATCGCGATATCGAGAAAATGGAACTTGTTTTCTTTTTCATGTTCCATAGTGAAATGGATATTCGGATGTGCTTCGTTGAAAAACTCTAGCAGATTTATTGCATGTTGTTTATTATTACATACGATGAAGGTATCGTCAACATATCTCGAATAATACGTCATTTCATCAATCGCTCGTTTGAGTTTGGTTCTTTCGAAGTTAGCCATGAAAATATCTGCTGGGACAGGACCTAACGGACTTCCCATCGCTACACCATCGGTTTGTTTGTATATGATATCGTTGAACTGGAACTGAACATCTTTTGTACAAATGAGTAATAGTCGTTTGAATTCTGGTATTGGTAGAGGTAGGATGTCAGAATGTGGACAAATTATGTCTATGGTCTCAAGAAGTGGTATTTTTGTAAACAAAGATGTTACATCAAAAGAAACCATAAACTTACCGGCAATATTTATGTGATTCATGCTGACAGCAAATACAAATGAATCCTTTAGTGTATAGGTGGCTAATCGATGACGCACTGGTTTCTTAATCACACTATTATATATAAATATGTCAATATCTGTATTAATGTTGAATTTTCAAATAATTTAGGTTGTAAGCAGCTGATGAGAACCTAACGAAATAAAATGAATTCATATTATTCTGCACCAATCTTTGTTCTTGCTCTATCTAAGTAAACGAATTGTTGATAAATAAAACACTGTGAAACACTTAAATGAATAATCCAAGTATTAGATTAAATTGAATCCTACGGAAATTATCAAGTGTATACAAGACAGGAAATGTATATAAAGCGAAGTTAGTAGATTATTTTAAATAGAATAAAAAGGAATGTATAACCATTATTTAAACACATACACATACAATGCATAGAACAGGAGAAACAAACATGAATTTAGATGAACTTTAAATTGAAAAAAAGTATAAAATCTTTTTCCCTACACTTTGGACAGTTATCAAACGTTAATATAAGAAAATACATAAACAGACAAATACATCAACTGTCAAAAAATTTAGCAATCTAGTAGTACATTGAGATGAATGATTATAGAGTAATGGTATCCTAAGAACTGTACCGAATAGTCATGAGTTTTTGAATGTTTGTTTGTTATTCTGTTCATTGAATTTTCTCTTACATTCTGTTAAATTATATTCTTTTTAAAATCTAACATGACAAAAACTATATTAGGAGGACATGTTTCTATAGCTGATCAAATGTGACAGTGAAACAGTACACATGAATGTGATTTTCTTTTTTAAAGAGAGCTAAATTAAAAGATAAACAAATTCTTTTATTAAATTAGTTAAATGATTTATGAATAATTCAATGAATAATCTCATAAACAGTAAAAATGATAAAAATCAATCATTCTATTTATAAGCATCAATCTATTCTAATAAAAATTATAATCTTTATCACATACTCTAGACAACTCTTCAACTGCTTGTAACTGTCCATCTAATTCACGACGAACTTGAGCAGCTTGTTCATCAGCATTGTCTAACTATTTAGAAAAAAACATAAACATAATGAAAAAGCAAAAAAATAAATGATAAAAACGACTTGTGCTTTTCAAAAAAAAATAAAATATCTGATTGAACTACACATTAATTTATGTAAAGGAAAGCATTCAGACTTAACGATTTCCCATAGCCTTAATCAATCAAAAAGGAAACTTCAATGAATTATCACAAAAGTGTAGGTAAACAGAAATAAAATTTTGAATATTTGATGAATAGTTTGACAAAAATTCGAAAAATATTGAACTTTGACAAAACCAATGAAAGCATCGACAATAATTAAAGTCTTTCATCTTAAGTTTTTACGTGCAAAGCGGTAACTAATGGGAAGGAAACTTACAAACAATTAATTTCGCTAATTATGCTTTAGCATACGATACAGAGGCCTATACACGAAAATTTCAAAAAGCACTTAAGTACGATCACCAATAGACACACATGAAGCAAACAGTCAGTTAATCAACAGCTTATAAGACCCAACTAACGGTGTAAAGCTAAAACGAACACCAGGTATTGAATTAACACAATCACTTTCTAAACATTTTGTAGTTAATTTCAATGATTGAGATCGTGAGCCGATTGAAGCTAGACCACCATGGGAAACCTAGAAGCACTGGACGGCCGTTTCGTCCCATTGTGGGACTCCTAATCAGTGCGCATCTACTTAACACCGTTGGGTGCCGGCTCAGTGGTTAAGCGCTCGCGCGCAAGACTGATAGGTTCTGGCTTCGAATCTCGCGAGGCGGGGTCATGTATACGCACCGTGAATATGACTATACAAAATACTTGATACTAATTCTGCTAATTAAAGAAAACAAAATAACCAAAATCAATTCAAAACAATCTAAATAAGATGATTTTCTAACAATTACGTGGTAGTATTAAAGGAACCCAATTGTATTAGGCCATCAAAAAGTGGAACGAATAGCAAAAAGTAAGAGATTGATTTTAACAGAAAAGAAGAGTGATCAACAGTCATTAACTTCACAGGGTATGCTTATCTCAAGACAAAAATGGAATAAAGAACCTACAGATGCTTTGTTGACATCCATATTGCAAAGCGATATACATGAATTTTGTCTTAACCTTCTTCGATTAGTAAAAGCAATACCTTTAACTCAATTCTTTACATCTACGATAAATTATTGCTTTGTCGATTCTTGCATGCAACATAACCATTAAGCTTTATTAACGATAAAAACAGATCACGATCACTCTAACTTATGAGTAGTATTTGTTGTACAGTTTTAAACTTTATTCATATTGTTTGTTGAGACAAATGTTCAATGAAAATATGTTCGATTTGAAAAATGTGTTCATCGTGGAATAAAAGCAATCAGCCTCAGGACTAAAAAGTTATCCGGTATTCTCATAGTGTCTCACAGTGGCTCATAGTGTCGCTTAAACTTATATCAGCTCGTGATGAAATCCATTTTCGAATAGAATAAATTTTTACGAACCATCCATCTAAAGAATAACCATGCATTCACCAGTATAACTAACGCCAAGTGTATTCTTGAAGCCCTGGTGAGATGCTATGAGTATGGAAATTTAACAATGTTGGATATGAAAAAGTTAGCATGGACAATAATATACTATTGTTTACCAATATGTCGCAAATTAACTGAATTCGGAAATAAAAATAACTGAATTCTAACACAACAGCCGGGAAATCTCTTGTTTTTTGCTATCGCTGAAAGTTTATAGTTCGGTCCCGCTTAAAGTAATGAGTTGGTGCTGTTTTCAAGCAACGTAACCAAGACCAGACAGTTATCCAGTTCATGATGACAACTATGCCTCAAAACTTGATTTATAACTGTTTCCAAAACCGGAAATTCTTACTGTTTCGCATTAAAAGTGATAAACAATTAAAAAAAACCGAAAATATTACTTTGTTTTGAAATTCTTTTCATTTTAAAATTTGTGTTAGAATGTGGTAAAAGATAAGCAAAGCTGGATACAATTCAGTTACTGAATATAATTGTACGTAATAAACTTTATAAAGTTCTACACTACGGAAAGAAAGAATTATTTGTAGAACGTCTTCTTAAGAGGTTTTTCCTAAGATTAAATTGTACGCTTGCAAATCCCAAACACATACATAGACATTCATTTACGATACTATATTTCCGAAACAAATAAACTTATCACCTGAGTACACAACGACAGAATAAGATATCTGACAAAAAAATGAAAAATAAACAGTCTATATTTATTCTGAAAAACAATGTCTTTTTACTAAAATGATATGATGAATTATGTTTGCATAGACCTGTGTTAGAATTTAGATAGATGTGTGAGTTCTGTTTATTGCTGTCATATATATATATAACGAATAAACGATACATCTTGTTAAACACTTTAGGCGCATAATTTGAAGAGGAAAAGATGGGGGAAGCCGAGACAAATGAATAATGACTTCGACAAAAACAACATAAATCAACTGTAGAATTTCTAGTACACAAAAACGTTTTCAATATTGGCTTAATTTTTTAGTGAAAAAACTTACTAACTTATTAGATTTCCTATTAAGAATTTAAAGAAACGAAGATTCTTAATTATGTGATTCATGAAAAACAGCAAACTAATAGAGAAATAAAGTATTTCAAGTGGAACAATGTAACATAATAACGTGAAACGCCGTAAACTAATGCATTTATTCAAAAACTTTAAGTGACCATATACAGGTAAAACAAAAAAACAAAATGCTAAATATATTGTAATAAAAAGGAACAAATTCCATCAACAGATTATAAAATGTTTCAGTCTGAGAAAGAAAATAGAGAAGATGCAGGATTCAGAGTTTTCAAAACGCGTGAAATGGCAATCCAAGGATTTCAAAATATGTTTTCTCCTTTTTAGACTTAAAATATTGCATCAGAACAAGTCCATGTTAGGGCCGAACTTGACACAAAGGAGTCAAGAAGGTGATAAAGGAGGCTATTCGCTTAGCTCAGGAGTATCGTCAGTCTTGGTGTATGAAAAACTGACGAGAAATAAAATCCGAGATTTCAGTCAAATTATTTTACACTTGTCAGAGAACATGAAGTAATTTTCTTATTAGACTGTCTGGCATTACAAAGAGATATTAACAAAAGTGTTACGAAAGACTGTGCAGTTCCAAAAACAATATCCAAGCTGTGAAATCAAAATAATTAATTATCCATGAAACCTCTGTATTTTATTCCTAACTTTTAGAATGAAACTCAAATATAGGTAGTTGGTTACTGGACTGTGTAAGCCTTTCCACTGCTTTGAAGATATATATATACTCAAAACTTAATACATTGCGTTAAATTACTAAAATCACTAGATAAAGAGATAACTCACTTGTAGTGCATTGTACAAAATTTGATGTTCATATTTTTTTACTCCTAATGTAGCTTGAAACAACTCATACAACTGTTCTTTAGTCATCACTAATTCAGGTTGAGGAACTTGTAATTTTTGTAAAACCGTAGATGGTCCAGCACCACCACGACATATTTGATCAAACTTTACCATCCAGGCACTGACAACATTTGCTTTATTCAAACCTTCAATTTCTGGTAAAAACTGTACACGGTGTTCACTATTTAATCGAAATACTTCACGAAAATCATGCATTGAACAACCACCGCCACGAACCATACTAGCTACACGATCACTATGTAAAAATCCCTGTTAATGAATTTCAGAAAAGAAAACCATAATAGAAATAAGGATTCTTAGTATAGAATAACATTCATTTAATAGTGAAAGTATAAATAATCACCCATTAAGTAAACATATAACGTTTTGATTATACAATTAGTTCAGTCAAGCTTCCTTCTTATCAAAAGAAAAGAGAATAATACAGAACTAACAAGATAATTAGTTTCTCTTGTTAAACACACATTAAAAATAATAAGATTAAATAATGAATACAATTAGATCTTATCAAATAATGAGAATAAAGTAAAACTATTTGACTAACTCATGTTGATTTATCATACGACACAGTGAATTCAACACATTTTGAAAAAATGATCATTTCAAAACAAAATAAATCTTCATTTTCCTCAAAGCTATTTTAAACATCTTATATATCTATATCTAATTACAATCTATAAACAAAATTAAATCAGATCTAAATAGCAACAAGTGATTAATGATAAAATTAAGGAATGATAAACTACATAAGATGAATAATCTATTTGCAAGTGAACATAAACTGTCGATTCCAGCAAGTCATGAGACTGACAAGAAAAAATTAATCTTTAAATCAACAGTTCAAGTTAATAGAAATCACATATAGTAAATAAAACTCATCAAATGAAACTACTGATTTACGACTTAAATGAAATGCATACAACGTTGAAGACAGCACAAAGATATCTCGTAACACCATTATTGCATAATATTATTCTACTCGAGGTTAAATTATTTACTAACCCCATGTTTATGCACTAGCTTTGAGTCATAGGTAACATATGAGAGCTAATAATAACAAGCTAACGAAACAAAAGTGGGTGCAATAAGTTTCGAAAATCTGTGACTGATTGACTGAAAGCCGACTGCTTTAATCACTAATCCGCAAGTTTATAGACAGATTCTTCAGAAGCAATACAACTGAAATGAACGAAATTTCACCAAACAATTGACTGTTATTGATTTACCATACAACAAAACTGTAACAACTGGTTCTCTGTCTGTTACATTCAAGTAGAAACATATACAACGGCGTGAGGTTGAAACACAAATATAGACAATGATATTTTTAGAAATAAAAGGGAAATGAAAAAAAAGAAATGTGACAATGAAGTACATTGTTGAAGATTGGATAGTGCAATATTTTTTCCCAGCATATAAGTGGTACTTAACGAACTACCCGAACCTAATATAAGATTATCATGTTAAAATGATTCATAAAACATATATTTCTTACTATTATATTTAGACTATAAATAGCAATGGTATTCAGGACGGCTATTTCGCTTAATTTTTTACGCGTCAATTGGATTTAGCTGTGTTTCAGTGTTAATCTTTGCACTGACACCCGAGCTCAGTACCTATCATTACGAACGCCAACATTTTATACACCAACCTACTAGGTATAAATACCCAGTACCTTGTGTCTTTTATTCGATATAATCATAACCTGGATAGATAAAACTAAAACTTCGATTTGTTTCGCCTTAAATTCATTAATAATAATGTGACCAATAATCAATTACTTTGTACCATTCTGTTCTCATGAACAGCTCAACCTACAAGTTCAATAGAACAACCATTTCTCAATTCACAATACCAATTTATGCTGTATAGGTAAACGATATTCACACATATAGCTTAGTGACGACGATTATATGAACACCAGCACACGAAGAGATACACTAGAAGAAACTGTTTAAAAGTTATAAGATCAATCTAAAAGTGAGAAGGTAAAATAACCCCTTTGTTTAAATGAGTGCATGTGACTGCCCATACAAAAGTTATAATAAATTCCCAAATATAAAGCGCTCCAGGATGCGATTACAATATCCAATTCACTGAAGCTTCCACTACGATCACTTTTTTGATATCATCAAATAAAATTGTGATTCGCTCAGAGTTGAACTTAAGAAACTTGTTGACGAAAAATGAAATCACTGTTTAAAAAATACTCACACTTCTTTTAAAGTTTTTTAAGGGAAACTGAACCAAGCCTACATTCTTTGATTAGGGCATCAATGTAGTTCTAACTCTAGTACACAGTTACACTGTCTTTACCGAATTGGTTGGTTGGTCGACTGGCTATTATGTACTGGAAGGCGATAACTCAATACACAAATTGATCAATCTGAAGAAACAAATTAGAAACGAAGCGCTACTTCATTTGCAAATATATGCTTCCGATGAGAAACTTGAATACGGTTAGCTAAATGACGTGACTGAAGGTTAAAGATACTACAAACCGAAAGAATATTTAGTAATGATTTGCTTTTAAAAATAAACATCAGTATTTTCTATTTTCAATCTACTGGGAACCAAGTAATGATCGCAGGAGTTTAAATAACTCAAAATGCTTGCCTACTAAATGAGTAGTGGATTTTTGAAGCTTGCATGAATACGAAACACGTGAACCTGCGTGCAATTAATCAACCAATCAAACTGATTGTTGATAAAAATGTATAAATGTAAAATTGAATTGTCCTATTGAATACATAATACTCACTTCATAATAACTTTGTATGGCATTTGTAAACGCTTCGTCACCGACAACATCTAATTCCCCACTAAGAAATGCCTGAAAACGTTCTTTAAATGTATTCAATTGTTGCTTAGTAATTTTTAAATAACGACGTATTAAATCAGTCGGTGGTTTGGAATAAAATGGATATGCTATGCAACGCATTACAAAGACATATCTAAAAAAATAATACAAGAGGGAAAATATATTAAAAATAAACAACACAGGAATTAAGCAGTACTACATCAACTTAGAACCAACTCAATTCTGTATTTACTCCATATATATGTGTAAACAAATATATGTATCGAATTTAATGTAGCTGAAAAAAATTATATGAATTTTGTGAATCCAATTTAAGTAAAAAAACTTTATCATATATTGCCTTGCTACTTTATTGTGTAAATTCCCTTTTTAAAAAATATACAGTTTAATCTATTTTCTACTCAAATGAAAACATTCAATACCATTGGATGAAATAGTATTTATTTATGACAACAATAAACAAACTGCACATTAAACCATAAAATTTCAAACGGTGAATTCATTTGGATGCGAAGCTGAAAGTCGATCAATTAAAAGAAGAACTCAGTAATACTACTAATACTACTACTAATATTATTGTGATAAAAGTATTGAATGATAAACTCAATGAGTATTCATGTGCAACTATCTATAAAAAATATGTAGATGAATTGAGATTAAATATCACTTCACTAAGTCACTGATTATTGATCTAAGTCAATTACAAAAGTAAAATAATGCATGGCAGAATCCTGATCTTTTTAGTTTCATGATTACTCCCCTAATTTTCTTATTTTATTTATATATTTTCCGTTTAATTTCATAATCCCTCATTTTTGTTGTTTATGTGAAAGGTTGGTACATTCATTAATACCTGTTTAATGTTATGACCATATAATCTTACGAAGATTATAATGAACTGAAAATTTTATTGATAATAACATTATTAGCGAAATTAAACTGGGATTATAATTTGTTGCATAAATTACTTTAATAAATATTCTCATAAATAATAATGATCGATTATCCCACAAGATTCACTTGGCCACCAAACTGATTCTTCTAACTAATTGATTGATTAATCAGAAAACAATCTATGACTGCGAACTTCACTTTCTATAATTCATATAATTTCATATACACATCAAATATCATAGTATAACCTTGACTGATACATGGCAAGTAATCTATATTAGCTAATGCACACTAGCTTTGACTGTCCAAAAATAAACAGTAAAAAATAAGGAAAACAATTGAGGAAGTCAGGTGATACGTTCGATTATTATTATTATTATTATTATTATTATTATTATTATTATTATTATTGTTATTATTATTATTATTATTAGGATCATTCTTTTGTCTTAATTATTGATAATAGTAAACAGAATTAAAAAAAGCATGATCAGAAAGAGAGAGGAAGGGAAAGAGATAAACAAATAATAACGTTATATAATTAAGCAATCCAACTGACAAGCGAAACTTGTTCAAAACAAAACACGAATAAGATCAGGATGTTTCGCTTAGACATTTATATCTTTAAAACATAGTTTTTGAGCTAATATAAGTAAATAAATTCATGTTGTGGTTAGTAGAATATGATTTAAAAAGGATAATTGATAATAGTCATAATGTTCATTATATATAAAACAACATATGGGTAATGTTCACTTTGATTAAGTTTATTTATTTTGCCATATTATTTTGTGATGTATGCGCGGTGATTTGTAAGTCATACACGAATCCAGCTTGTATATCTATTTTTAGCGATCAAGTAGGATATCTAAACAAATTGTCATTCACGACTTAGTACTTTTGATACGATTAGAATATTATATATGAAATGTAACGTGATGAAATCCAGTAGACGTGATTTGTCCTCTTTTTGTACCCGTCAAAAGCATATAAAGGGTTCAACTATGGGTTTACGATTTCAAAAGAGATACTAGATATATAAAGTATAACTGACATATTTAAAAAAACCAAACATTTGAAAGGTTAAAAATACCATAGAAAAAAATATAATCATACAACACCGATTTACCACAACAGAAGGTACGACACGACAGAGATGAAAACTTCTTTTTGATCCACATCTGTATATATAAACATCATTGTTTTTCTTTTCAGTAAGTTACAATTGAACAGATACTTACAATTGTAGAGCTTTACGTCTTTCTTGTTCTTCACGTTCAAGCTTTTCTTGTTCTAACGCTGCTGGATCTCTTAGAATAACAACAGGTTGATTAATCACAGTGCCTAAATCTTGACTCTGTGATACTAATGATGGATTTCGACTTTGGTGCTTCTCTTGATGAGATTCTGTAGATTCTGCATTAGGAGCACTATTTGTACTATTCACACTGTAGGAACTACTCCCATGTGTTTCACGACCATATCGTTCCATAGTACTATGTTTCAAAAACTTTGATTGTGATTGCTGTTGTGGCGAATGAGTGTTTAAACTCATAGAGGACATAGATATTTCATCATCTTCTTGCATGCTGCTGTAAGTTTGATGTTGAGACTCTTGACTGAGAGAAAAAAATAAAGAACGATATTAACGTATCTGAAGTCTTGAAACTTCAAATACAATCTATCAATCGAACAAATGTTAAGACCAATTGATTCTATAACAAGTAAAGAACTACCATAAACACGTAGATATATTATATCATCAAGTTCTTGAATATTTCCTTTTTAGAAATAAAAGCCCTATAAAATTAAAAAAGCTTCATATAAGAACTTTTAATACTGACACAGTCAATCCCCAAATCTGTAGAAAACTAGATAATATGAGATAATTAACCAGCTCTAATCGAGTTGTTTTCAAGACACATGATTAAAAGTGTTGGGGTGATCCGGCAAATTTCTCGCAAAAGACAAGCAAGGATCAGGAAGCACTAAGAAGTGTTGCCTCCAATCAGCATTCATTTGAAGCTGTAGCCAAAAATATCAAGGAAGTGAAACGTCACATGTAGAGGTTTTGACTGACATTCCAGAATCTTCGAGCAACCCAAGGACATTGAAAAATATTATAAAAACCCTATATTTTCTGTTAAAATGAACCTTGGATTAAAGTACCTCTCGCATAATTTGCATCTCCTCTCTCGTTATTTAGGTCGCTGTATAGTTCTAGCTTGGGGGTTACAGAATAGCTTAGGAAGCGAATATAGCGTTCAATTTGCAAGACTTATCAAAAAGTAACAAAAACACAGGATTGGATTGATTCATGAAGAATATGTAGTAGTAGAGTTCAGTAAGATTAGTTGTCTTGTTTCGCGCCTCGGACTGTAAAGCCAACACACAGTCCTCATAGTTAATATCAATAATCTAATCAAGTAAATGATGGGAATTAATATTTTGGAACTTATTACACGCTTTAAGCCGAATGATCTCTGATAAGTAACTGAAACTGCAAGCTTTCGATAACCGATCTAGCTAGTGGATATTTCTTAATAATTTTAAGTATATATAGATTCCCATTTTATTCAATAATATGTGACGTTAAGATTTCAAACCACCATTCACAAGATCTAGTTATGAAAAACAAATATGTATTAGAATCTAAACAGTAGGTGTAATTTAAATCCCACCAAAGGTGTTGCTTAATTAGCTTTACAACTTTTCATTTACACCATCCAAGTATTCCTATACATCATGAAAAGTGAAAATCTTTAGTTCCATATAATCATTCACACTTATTGTACATAACACTTCTTAGAAAGTGGCAATTCGAGCTACCCACAAAATATTTATTACTTAGACTAAAATAGTCTTCAAAATGTAGAGCAAGCGTTAGCTAAGAACATCGGTGTATTAAAAAATTCATAAATATTCACAATTTTAAAGTAGAATATGAACTTCACGATAGCTATAGCCTAAGTAGATAACAAACTAAGGAGACACCCAGTTGTTCAGTCATCATCAATGTAAAAACTAGCACAAATGTGCGTTGGGCCAAGTTGCAGTATCACAACATTACGATAATGAGATGAAATTAACAAGATGAATGATGAAAGTCATAATAATGAAAAAAGATAAAACATTCAGAGTATGATTCGAAAAGACAATCAAAAGGTATGTATGAGGGAATTCTAGGACTTAAGATGCAGTGTAGGGTAAGAAATAAACGCATTTATGTCAATGTAACCGATTCTGAACCATGACGCTCAACATCTTTAAGCAATAAGGCGATTATTGCCCGAAACACAACCAGGGAGTCTGAAGAGACATCCGAGTAACATATTAATCTGCATTCAAAGAAATCAGCAGTTCGATTATCAGAAAACTAAAAAAATCAACCACTTCGATGTATCCTCATGTGCTGATTTTATTTAAGAGAGAACTTAGCCAAAATGACGAAGAAGCACATTATTTACAACGGATATTTTCAAATGAGTGATATAACACCTTGGTGTTTAAAATAAATAAGTGTTAACAACAAATTTTAAGAAACTGTAAAATATCATCTTATTTTGGAGAAAAGTAAGATCTACACTAAAATAGATCACTATTAAAGTAATACTTCAAGTTAAACATTACTAAGCATACATTCAATGACATTAGAGTTTTCTTAGTTCAACTATTAGAAAAATCTAGCTTACGAATCACTACATTGTTGCAGTTCCATTGGAACTCGCATATTGTTGTTTCTTGTGCTTGGAACCTAATCTATACTTAATGAATACCCATTGGAATTTATCCAGAAATATGTGAAAACCAATCCTCGTACAAATACGATGGAGTAGAAAAGAAAACCTGCTTCTTACACTTACGTTTCAAAGGTGATGAAATTGCCGGAATAATTAATCACAGACTAAACTGCGTTGAAAGTGACCTACCCAGCAGCAAAACTTATGACAGCATGGCAAACGAACTGCTCACTTAAACAAATCAAAATCGAAAAGTCCTCTTTTCTTAGTAGCTCCAACTGCATTTACCAATTCACATGTACGTGCCAAAGCACATACATTGGAAGAACTGAGAGAAGAGTGCATGTCCGCATTTCTGAGCATGTCCCAAAAACCTTGAGGCTGCGAGGGACTAAGGCTTTCAACAGCGCAATAGCTCGGCATCTACTTGACACCGGGCACATCATCGACATTCCGCACGCTTTCAAAATTATCAATAGACAAAGACGTACGACCACCCTCCGTTTTGTTGAAGCCACTGTGATAAAAAAACATAAACCAGACTTATGCATTCAAAAAGAGACTATAATAAACTTATCACCACCCTGGTGATTCTTTGTGTGTGTGTGTGTGTTTTGGTTATTTGGGTTATTTTATTCATTTATTTATTTTAAAATATTTATACTCCTCCCCTATTACATAATTCTTAAACCACATTATTATTCACATATTTCCACAACCTGATCCTCTTAAATTATCTTAACTTTTCAAATTCTATTTAATTATTATTACGTAACCTATCTTATGATTATTCAATTCCATTAATCTCTAAAATTATCACATAATTTATGGACTTCACTAAACCTACTACACCACCCAACCCGAATTATTTCCTTTTGACCTCTGACCTGTTCTAGATTATATATATATATATATATAGTTATTATTGTAATCCAGTTATTTAGACTCATCTATGTCAAGTGCTTTCACACTATCTCAATGTAAAAATTCTATCACATTTTTGGTTTGTAAGCAGCTGACAGGAAACATCGAAATAATATGAATTCATACTATTCTGCACCAATTTTTGTTCTTGCTTTATTTAAATTCATAAAGGGAACCAAGTGCATGAAATTTAGAATTATATAGTGCCAAATTCATTAAAAAACAGATGGATATGTTAAAAAAAATACTATTTATACAGGAAACGAGCGATAAAGCACAATTATTAAGGGGTTTAAAATTAGCTACAAAAAATATCTTAAATTATTTATTCCATTAAAGTGGGTGAAGAAAAAAACAAACCTGTAACCACTGCGTGAAAATGTTTCATTTGTCCATTGACGAGATGGTCGGCCTTGTTGACTAGAAATTACTTGACCTTTTGATCCTAACATATAACGTTGTTTAGAATGTGGGGAATGACTACGATCGGTACTATCAATCTGATGGGAAGAAACTGAGTTTTGGCGTCCATATGTAGTGCTAACATCATTAGAAGTAGTACGCAAAGACCTAGGCTGCACACCTCGTTGTCTTCCCCCGACGTTATCTGCTGGTACCCGACTAGTTGTAAGAGCTACACTTGACTGAACTGGAACTTTACTACAAGCAGCAACATTTGACACAGTGGATTTATTTCCATAATTTGTAAATCCACTTACACCTTCCTCTTCTTCACTTGATGAAGAATCGAGCATTATTTAAAAATATAGGGACAGGTGTGAATCGGAATTCTGAAATAAAAGGAAAACAAAATGGTACACGTAAATAAGAGAAAAGTGTCTAAAGACATTCGCTAATAAGTGAAGCGAAAAAACACAATCATGTGACAATTGTCTCTGAAGAAAATGAGAATTAATTTGTTGATAATATATTTAAAAATGTACTTGACGTAAATGTAGTCGGAAAATATGACCCAAAATATCGATCATTTTGAAGTTCCACATACTCATAAATTACGCCTCATAGAGACAAAAACCTCTTGACAGGTTAATATTACTGTGTAAATCACAAAAATGAGGCGAGATTTGAAGAAAACTTGGGAATCTACTTAGTCTATGTCGCTAGTAAATTAACACAAACTTCATTCCCTACTATAGAGACCAAGGGATGCAACAGTTAAAGCTGACAAGTTTAACACAAATTTAAAAAAAATTGCCTTGACTGTGGCAAATAATGGATTGAGGAATTAAACAATACTTCTTCTTACGCAACCATGGACATAGACTGAGAGTTAAATGAGAAAATATGCCATCCTTTATATCAATTTACGCCGAAAAAAATAGAGGCGAATTAAGTAACTGTGAGAATTTCAAGCTGAGATGATAATCACTTAAACGAAATAGAGATTAAATTCAAGCAGAATACAGCTATAAAAAAAGACTATTCATGGAGTAGCAAGTTTCAGGAACTGAGTCAAAAATGTATGAATAAAATCCATTGTTATTAGCAGAGGTAACAGGGAGGCATATGGGTAAGTCAGTATTTGATAAATTTAAAATTGTCAGCAGCGTAAAAATAATTTTCTACCGACTTTTAGCGTGACAGCTTGGGGCAATACATATTTATGATGCCTCTGACTGACTGACGTGAGAAAATTGGGAACGATGAAAATATGGACTTCGTGAAGAAGAAACATTTGATTCGTCATTTATATATACATCTATTTAATATACTATCCTAACGGACAAATGAATTACCGGTGACTCAAATCATTTAATACTCAATAACCTATATAGGAAGACCATGAATATTGTAATTTCTAATAACATACGCTTTAGCATTCAAGAAAGTGTTTAGTTTCATTAGGTAAAGAAGGAAATTAAAACTGAGTGAATAATTGGTCCTTTAATTTTATTATCGTTGAGGCCTATCAGTAAACATGTCAGTTTGATAAATTCAGTTTTGTAACCGGCTATTACGAGGCCACGTTGCATTATTCAGTATAATCAATCAATTAGCAGTCTGGAAAAGTGAGGCAGAATAATGTGGATTCATTATATTTACAGGCTGCTTACAGCCGTATTTATACTGAAATATGACATTATATTGAGCAATAGACATAGGAGACTGAAAAATCGGGATGAATATTAGCAGAAATTCCAGTCACCACCGTTTATTATTTAATGTCATATTCTAGTATGAATATAGATGTAAACAGTTGGGGGAAAAGCCTTCACATGAAATGAATCTATATTATTCTGCTTCAGTTGTTCTGGGTTTAACCCAAATTCATAAGGGAAATTAAATGCATGAATTTGGTGTTCTTTCGGGTATTTTATTAATCAAACTATTCATGGGAAGCCAACACTTCGATTCATAAGGTATACTTAAACAAACAAGCAAAAGACAACAATGTAAGACTTTTCACAGTAAAGTAGTCATTAGAATCTTTCTACAAACACTGATGCTCTGATTATTCCGATTCCTTGACTGTTCATCTTGTTAATTTCATCTTCCGTGAGTTAATATGGTGTGGCAACTATGGTAGATCGATATTTGCCAGCTTGTCAGCTAATTACGACTGACTTCAAATTCACAGAAAACTGAAATACAAACAAATAACTTAAGAACATCAGTTTAACAAAAGTTACTTCCGACTATCTTCGAAACAATCATATCTCACTAGAATTTCAATCTAAAATCCAAATATCCATTTTAAACATCTATTATCAATAATCTCCGCTCAAATAACAAGTATTATGATAGTCCAATTATCGAACAAAGTTGAATTCTGATCTACTTCCTATTTTACATATCTTCATTTTATCTCCTTTATTAGAAAGAGCAAAATGAATATACATATAATTATGCAGAAAAAACAAAAGAATTTTGTTTGCACTAAAATCCAGTCCTTTTAAATATATTTGACATTACACAATAACACCAATTACTGGATTTTGCTTTCGTTGAAACAAAGATACACAAAAAATCGGACAGTACATACGGTAAATGGAAGATATGCTGATATACCATAAATATAAATGTTTTATGACAATCAGACATGAAAATTAGCTTGTTTGTAATCCCTATTTTTATACTAAAAACCTAACTTTAATTTACGACACGAGTTTCGATAAAGTGGATATTTTTTATGTATAACCATAAGTTTTGATTATGAAGAGAACTACTAGTTTGGACTTCCTTAAACACCTAACACGGACAACTCTTTATCGTCTGTAAATACTAAGCGCCAACTTTCTTCCAGCCGTCTCCAACACTAGTCAGCATTGTGCGTCGTGGTAATGTGTTCAGGCATACGTAACATGTGGCCCATTCCTGAGTTATATCCTGTCTATCAGTTACTATTTCCCACATTCACAGCCACATTTGGCCAAATCTTGTACAAATGTTATTTCCTATTTTATGGTACGATGTGGTCTGTTAAGTTGGTATATAAACTCAGTATGTTTGGAATAAATTATTCATATCGCAGAGGCTGAGATCTGTGTTCTGAAATTAATAGGCTGGGCTAGACAGGAAGCAGGACCGATAAGGACTCTAGACTGCTCGTATAGGTATTATGCGTTATTGGGCCGGTTGATAAATTAGTGTTAACTAATTGGCGGTATCATTACATTATACATTGATGGGGGCACAAACCCACAAGTTATAATAATTGGCGACGGGATGAAAAACAAAGAACCAAAGGCACGAAACTGCAAGTTATAACACTTCTCATCACTGAGTTCAACTCTAATGGGTCGTCTTAACTTGGCTCTTCTGCGTCTAGTGAGGCGCAAGCAAATGCGTAACCGTATCAGAGCTTGACCAGAGTCTAAATATGTATTCCAGAACGAGCGACAGTCTTCTATCGACCCTCTCCAACGATGACTGATGAAAATATGGTATGCTTAAGTCCATCGATGCAAGGGGTCACCATGTAAGACGATGTCCCTTCTTATGCTTAAAATTAGTATCCGCTAAAAATAAACGATTGTCTGAGTACAGTTGCAGCAGATGGTCACCATTATCTGTTCGCTAAGCCGGAATACCAAAATACCCACCTAAATGTCTTTCTGTTTGGTTCAAGCTACCTACTTGAGCATTAAAGTCACCTGCTACTAGTACTATGTCTGAGTGTTCAGCTTTATGAAGTTCAGAAAGCTTTATTTAAAATCCATTTTTACTTCATTCAGGCTGCAGTCGGTGGGAGCGTAGGCAACAACAGTTCGGATAATTTGATATCACGAGGAATTATCCAAGAAAATAAATCAGAAATTTTTACGATTGGCACGTGCTGCTCAGTAAAAAACACTGTTGATAATAATCAAGAATTTAACTTAATATCTACATATCTAGATACAAATCAGTTATCTTTTTACACATGTTACTACTGAATCAAATGTCACAGCATCAATTCAATTACACATAATCATCTTTGTTTCCTAATTATCACTATTCATCTATTACGTAACCGGTAAAAACATGATCAACTGAGTCCCATATATAATAAATATAAACGTTCCGGACTAACCTACGCTCTACAATAAAATACACTAAAACGAAAACTTCACAAATTTAAATGACGAGAAATATATAATATCAACGGGAAGTTTTCCTCGATATCACTATGAAAGGTCAGGATGACGGACCAGTTGATAGTTACAAAAGCTATAACATACGAGTTCATTTGAGTGTTTAAAAGTAAAAGTTCCCTAACCATTTTGTAATATTCCTAAGTGAAATGTTTACACAAGTTTGACAGATTTCAAGGCAAATAAATTTTTACGGGTTTCATTCGGCAATGCATACCTTCAGCAGAGCTACCTTATATAATCGGTTTTATTGATAATTAATGTATAATGAATTTTCAGCCCGAATTCTAAGCTATCAACCCAATGAAGTCATATACCTGTGTATGTAGAACTTGTTGCACATACACATACTGAGGAAAAATAATTGTAATCATCCTTTGTGTCTGGAAAACAATGACTATTTGTTACAACTAATTTTTTTATAATAATGATCTTTCCTGCTTTTTGTTCCAATCTATAAAATTTTGTATTGTACTATGAACTTGTATTAAGTTCAAGGCCTAACTCTGTCACTGGAATATATATAAAAATACACTTAAAATATAATCTAATTTATTTAAAAATAGAAAGTTGAAATATAAGCGTAAATTGATTACCTTAATGTAACTAATATTGAAAAAAGCAAGTTCATTTCAGCATAACAAAAAAAAAATAGAAGTTATTGATTTGTAAACACTAGGCTGACATAGATAATATTTTATATTTTTAGTCCTAAATTGTTTTAAAGACTTATTTAATTTTATTTGAACACCTAAATATTGGTACATGAGGGCACAAAATATATATGCGCCACACAAAACAATGAGAATTCGAAGAGAAAAAAAAGGTAAAGTGCGTATAAGAAAAAAAAGCAATGACGACCACAGCTAAGTGTAAGGTAGTGTAATAGTAATAAAAATAATAGTAATACTAATGATGGGGGAAACGGAAAGATACAATCAGAAGAAATCTTTCAGTTAAGGAAGTTACAACCACTTTTTATGAAGAAAGTAAAAGAAGGTTACAGCAGGATCGCCACTGGCTTCTGTTCTTAACCATATCTGACAACGTCTCTAGCCACTGCGTTGCACCATTTCTCTGACCCCAGACAGGGAGTCGTGAAGGTCCAACACAAGCCAGTCCTTTGCAGCTTTCTTTCATACCCAGAAACCATATCATACACTGACCACCTCTCCGCTTTTTCCAACCAGTCCCAGC